TTTTCTTAATATTCCAAATACACAGAGCAACATTCCAAAGAAGAAAAAAAAAAAAGAAAACAAAACAGGCGGGGGGGCACAAATGCAAGTCTATGTCCAAGAACAACATTTCTTGTAATAGGAGGCTAAAGGATCGCAGCATAGGAGAGACTTGGATCATCAATTTCCATTAGAACAATACACAACAGTTTGTGTATCAATCTTTGGCAAAAAGATTTTGAACAAGCTGTAATACCTACCAACTTACATTTATACAGAAGACAATTCAAGAAAGGAATTCACATTTATTTTTTAAAATCTGTAGGTTCAACATTTCTTTCCCTCTTTCTTTTTCAGTGCTTTCAAAAAGTACATGAGTGTATTACAAAAGTTTAGAGACAATTATTCTAGAAGAGGTTCAAAGCATAAGGAGATATTTTGGCTGAACTAACATTAATCACGTTATGAACTAGTCCAAAGGCTGCCCTCTGGCGGAACCTCAACAATACGTATTTACTTTGAAAGCTAAAAATGTTAAGAGGCTTCTACTTTTCACTTTATTAAAACAAAACAAACCAAACCCCAAACCCCCAAACCTTAAAGATGCAGCATGTGGCCCAGTACATTTCTATTTTGAGTTCTTGAAATTCTACCTACCTACCTCACCAAACACATGGCTCGACCGAAGATAGTATCACATCTTAAAACTGCAGCTGGGATTCCAACTAAAATAAGCTAGTCCTTTTCTGTAGTTGCTAGTTCATTAAAAGCACTTACTTTGCAGTTTTCTTTTTGTGCCTGTTCTTTGTAATAGCAATTACAAATAAAATACCCAAAAACTCCCAGCTTTTATAACAAAGCCACACGAATTTCAAAGAAAGAGTATTTATTCCTAATCTCCTCAAGTGATTTAGGTTACTTTTCACTGTCCTTCGATATGAAGAGCAGTCACTGTCTCTTAGCTCCATAATCACAGTAGTTAAACCAACTTTGAAATTTATCATAATCGCATTTGAACTTGATGTCTAAATGCTGATGCGTACAGAAAGGTCAGATTCTTCTATACCAGGTTGGCCAAAAGGCTGTCACATTATTTTTTTTTTCCACATTCTGAATACTAGCATTGCTGTATTTGTTAAGCATGCAGGTTTCTTACCCAAAATGCTTCTCCCTCACTACCCCATTACAAAACAACCATCCTCTCCCCTTTAAAAAAAGAAAATCACCAAGTACCTAACTTTACTTGACATTCCACACCTGTAACTAAAATAATGACCCTCCTCAATTTGGTGGCAATCAATTCAAGTAAGAAATGGTACGCTTTCAACTGGGTAAGTGGCAAGCTTAGGCTGAAGTACTTGTCTGAATATCTACAGTCATTAAAAACAGGTTTAAGGAATTCTGTACCTTACTGTAGCAATTCACTAGTGCAACAGTTGTATGAAAAAAAACTATTCTAATTACTCAGTTGTATTTTGACTTCACTGGTAAAAATGGAGGTAGAAACTAAAATTTGAGAATTGCTGACCGATGAAAAGTATGCGGGTCAAAACACAATTTTGGAACAAGTGGAAATACTGCAGGCCACTAACAAGTTTATGATAATTTAATTTTGCAAATTGACAGAAATTCTGTCAAGTTCTTAAAGAAAATCGTGCATACTTACTTCTCTCTAATATTTCTGTAATTCCAGCATTATCTGCTTCAAGTTCCATTTTAAATTTAGCGAGCTCCTGGTCCAATTTTCTCAAATGACGGTCTACCTGTTTTTGAGACAAAGCAACAATAAATAGCAACAATAAATATTGCTAAATATTTCCCTTCCAGCAGTTCTCCGTCATGCAGCACTAAGCACATATAAAACCACACAGAAGCATAACTTTTCGGTCACCTGCATTTCCCTAACTCAGCAGAGATACTAGAATTAACACCAAAATAGCCCTGTTGCTCCTAAGCTGTGCGGTCAATCACAGGGTACAATAAGGCTGCATAATGGCTCAGCAGCTAGAAACCCTCCTCTTACTGTAGGCAATGTTCCAAGATGCAATGTTAAGTGTTTCTTTTGAGAAAAAAGATTAAAAGGACTTGGGGGTGTTGTGGGTATGGGTATAGAAAGGGGAGGAGAAAGAACAGCACATGACATGCACTTTAGAAGAGGTTGGGCTGCATGGGGAAATTGCAAGTTTACTGAATTGCAATTTGTATGCCACTATACACATCGGTAAGCTTAAGTATTGAGTAGAAGGGTCTCTAAACTGAAAATGTGAAGAGTCCTGTGCGTTTGAGTAAAGTATGACATGCTCTTGGGTATTGAAAATTACCTTAAAAAAAAATTAAACTTAATTATCATATATCATGGAAATATCACTATGTTCCAAATGCTTTCCTCATCTGGAGTCATACAGCAGAATACTGTACCTATCTCTAAACTATTAAAAATTGAACAGGTTTTTGCAGTTACCAGCTAACCAAAAGAGAGAGCGTAAAGTTCCAACTTATGGAACTAACTTTTGGTTAGTTGAAATGGAACTAAAGCAGACAAGAAATACTTGGTTTGTGTCTACTATATTTTAGTGCAGTCTGACTTGCAGGTTCTGTTCTCTGAGAAAATGTAAAATAAATATACTTAAAATTCAAAATCCACATGCTATAAGGAAGAGTAACTTGCTCGTGGTCTCTTTTCAGAAAAAAATAACTCCGACAAAATCAACATGCATGAAAACCTCAGGATTTCTAAAATTATTTCTGCATGTTCTGTATTTAAGTGACACTTACTACCCAAAGCAAAAAAAAATTCTTAAAAGACAATAAAATATTAAATGTTTCTTTCACCAGCAAAAATATCTTTATGTAGCTGACATAACAGTACAGGTAGCACAGTTGTAGTGCTTATGTTTAGAACTCCTTTGGGCATAAATTTATGCAATTCACCACAAGCCTTCTGTCTACTTACCAAATCATATATTTGATTAGCCAGTTGCACTTTTTCATCTGCATCTTCCAGAGCCTTATAATAATCCTGTTATAAAGAGAATTTTTTTTTTAAATTATGAATGTAACTGAATTCATTTCAGTCATTTTAAACTATTGTTATCCAGCACAAAATGTAAGTTAAAAGGAGAAATTCAAGTCAGTCTTCAGAAAGACTGTGAAACTCTACTGTAAACAACAACCAGCTAAACTTTAGATGAGAGATGTATTACACATCAATTTATTGTTTGTGCCTTAGAAAAAGCCGAACTACAAGATGTGGACACTTCCTCCTACAGTGATATTTAGATTTCTGCAAGAAATGCTACAAGAGTAGAAACAGTCTTGGATTTATTTTATATTACACAGCATAAGGTTATGGACTCAAAATGAGATGATGCCTTTTACTCTGTGTGGATCTTTAGGACCACTGCAGATGCTACTACCCTTCAAAATGATGCTAAACGGTACTGTGAGGGGAGGCCTTTCCAGCACTGTAGTTAAATAGAGATAATGATGTATATATTTTATAGTTTAAATTATTTTAAAACACATGTATATAACTCATGTTATTACTCTAGAATTAAACAGGTTTAAGTACCTTTTTAGTCTCAATTTCCACTGAAGAGTATCTTGCTTAGGCAAAAACTACTCGGAATTTTGGTCCAACTAAAGTCAAAAGCGAATTTTTCATTTACTCTAATGAAGTCAGAGCTTTGACGACTTCTTTTTTTAAATATAGAAATCTATTTGTATTAATTAAGGAAAAAAAAAAAACCCTTGGCCAAATAAGTACTACTTGGCTGAAGTAGCAAGCGTAGGAGACTAGAAAGGAGTTTCTCCTGACAAAATGATGGACTACCTTGCTAACAATACCACCACCAATGCCCGAGTGTTGAAGGATAAAACAAAACAAATCCATCTTCTTATTCCTCCCTCCCTAAAGCTGCATACACCATATATATAACATACACAAGGATATAGGCAGAATCGCAGGAAATGCTGAAGCTAAGCTTGAAAAATATCCTCTAAAAGAAAGCCAATTAACTTACGCAGCGTCATGTCACACAAGCAGAAACAAAAAGTCTGAGCTGAAAATTTAGTACCTGGTTTCCTCACCATTTCAGGATCATAATTTTTAAAATGCTACCAAATACTGGGCAAAACTTGAGAGAAATACTTGATCAAAGAAACCTTTCAGTCATTTTTCTCCTCCTAGGTAGTTCTATCCATCTCTGTGAAAGCCCAAGGGAAGTCACAGTTCTGAAGATGGAGACTTAAGTCTCCATCAATCACAAGCTATTTTTTCCTAAGGTTATCTTCGTTTGCAAAAGAAAAATGTGACCCACTCCTGTGATATCCTTACTTTTTTGATTGATGTCATTTGTTCTTCTCTCCATTCAGGTTTGTTTTTCTTTGCGTTCATAAAAAATTCATTTACCCTCTGCTCAAGCTGATCCATTGCATCTGTAGCACAGGAAAAGATTAAGCTAAATGTTATCTTCTCATGTATACAAACATTATGAAATAAGGTGGATTTTTTTTCTTAAACAAAGTTGACAGGACTGAGGTGCAAACTATTAGAGAGGAAAAAAAAACAACAAAAAAACCAAAACAACCAAGTGACAGTGGACAGAGGAGGGAAATATTTACCTTAATTTCCAAGAAGCAGAATTGCATTCTGGTAGGATTCTCAGCAAGGTTCTTGTGCTCTCCAGCATGGGACAGGCAGGACTCCAAGTTCTAAAGGTTTTTTGTCCCTAAGAGCAGTGGTAGTGACTTAAAGCACGACCCAAACTCCTCACCCAGGGCTCTAGACTGCTGACTTTGGAACATTCCAGCCAGTTACAAACTGAGCAGGAAACAAAATGTTCTCCTAAGAGAAACAGTCAAATACAAAACCAAATAATTGAAAAAATTAGTGCCTCAAAAAGGTAGAGCAACTGAAGAGTCAAGTCACCGCCTTTAAGTCAAGGCCCTCTCCACTGTACGCTAGGAAGGGTGAGAGCAAATTGAAAGCACTCACAAAGTTACTCCCCCCACCCCCAAAGGGTAGCACTAAGGGGTAAATGCACTGATGAAATACTATTTGGACAGGATTCTCACTTACATGAAGTTGAGAAATACTGTACGGGAAAAATTAAAGCCACCAATTCTCTAACATTAACTATCATAAGAAATGAAAATGTCAACTACAAGTTATTTGTTTCATTGTTTATTGAGACAGGAACAGGGATTCCCTTCCCTTTCCCTCCACCCTCCTTCAAAAAAAAAGAAAAAAAAGAAAAAAAAAGCACTGAGTTTACTATTTCAACAGCTGGACACTTGTGCATGCAACAGCTTGCATATTTCCAAAAACACGCAGCTGCGTCAGTCAAACTAGCTTTGACAGCCTTGCTAGTCGCAGGATAGATAGTAGTACTGAAAATTTTTTCACAGCACTCTCAGCAATACTGTCCAGATAGCAGTTTCAAATTAAACGTGACAGTGCACCAACTACCTACAGACTTCAGGCTCTGGGTGTAAAACACTTAAGATACTTTCCAGAAACCACCATTAAAACTGGATAACATGATGGCCATCATCTCTTATCCCCCACAAAAGTGAATTAACTAGTTTAAGGAACTCATGAATCCCCAAGTATGATTAACTCATCAAATCCAATGGAGCCCAAAGGTTTTCTCACTCTGTGAAAATTCACAACTAGAACTGTTCACGTAAATAACCAAAAATCATTCATACTAAATGATCAAAAACATTCAGTGATTTTCCCTATGCTGGGAACGTCCAGCATCAAAACCAACAGGAACCTAACAACTGACTGGACAGAGCGCCCAAACAGTTGTGACACAGGCTCACATCAACTTCATTTAGACCCAGACAAACAAAGTAGTGTAACAGTTTTGGTGTATAACAGGTTAAAGATGGGAGAATCTGTACAATGAGCATTTTCCACTTGCACTATGTTATTCAGGGAGAAGATTAAGAAGCCTGAGCAGCAAGCAAGCAGCACACACTTTATGTGGAGGCTTCTAAAAGCTTTGTTCTTTGACCAAATTACTATAATTTGGTCCATAAAGCCAACAGACAAAATGTTCTCTCTCCTATTCCCAGAGTGCAAACGGCTAGGTGATAATTATTCTAACGGCATAGACATGAAAAGAAAAAAAAAAAAAATCTTCCCTCTTTACTTTTTGTTGAGGACACGTATCAGTCTGTGTGAAACTGCATACGGCAAAACTTCCACAGAAACTTGGTCTCTTCTGAAAGGGCAGAAACGGCAAAGGGGAATGCAGGTCAGATCTATTAAATTATATGAAAAGTTCTCTCTGGTACACTCAAGTCCCCACACCTTTTCTCCCCCCCTACCTTTTTAATCCAACTGTGATACTATATTCTGAGATACTAATTTCTTAGATCAGATTTCCCAATAAAGTTGCCAGAAATTCTACTAGAAGAGAGGCCTTTTTCCAGAGCTTGACATTTTACCATGGAGGCCTAATAATCCATGATTTGAACTTAAATAGAGAAACACATTTTACGCTCCATGTGGAGCTCATCTAAGACTCAAAAGTCAAGTCACAACTCACACGGTCTTCACTTTTCCCACAGCAGCCTTATCAGGGCATAGAGTAGGTACAGCTGGTTTATTATTTCTTCCAACAACAAACAGCAGCACCTGCCACATTAGAAGTCCATGTGGTCCAAACAGGGCAGAATATAAAGTCAACATTGACTCTAAAACACAGCAGCGCAGTTATTTCTGAATTAAAACTCAGGTAGGTTTCTTGGACAGCATCACTCATCACAGTACTGTTTTCAAGTACTTCAGAGGCACTGAATCTTCACTATGTCACAGCATGAGAACAACCTCCAGGTTTGCATGTAGTATTCAGCGGGCAGTTTGGCAACTGATGTTGAAGAGATGCTAGTCCAGAAGTTTTGTAAATGTGTTTGGATGCTTTGTCACTCATTGTGCAAGAATTACAGAAGTACCAAGGTCTGAGAGAATTTTTCTCTGGGCCAAAGGTTGGTCTTAGTACACAATATTCAGTGTTATTTGCTACTTCCACTAATACAATAGAGTTATTTGCCACTTCCAGTTAAAGAAGAGGAAATGACACTACTGCAACCTTGGCTCAGTTCTGAAACACGCTTCAAAAAAACCTCCTAACTTCTTTGCCTCCCTGCTAAATAGAAGTAAAATTTGTGAACTTACTCAGAAGTACCTAAGTCAGTGAGCTGCTCACTCCCTCTCCTGGTGCTCCCTAGTGATAGTTACTTCACAGGTTGTTATCTCCCATACGGAGCCATTGCTCTGTTCCCACAGCTTTAAGCACTGAACCCAAGACAGCACTTAGCCCATAGTATACAAGAAAGTCCTATAGCCAGTTCAACATGTGTCATAAAGTCTGTTAAACAGACCTTCTGGGTCCATTAAAGTAAACATCCAAGGGAAGGCCTGAGACCTCACTTCAAAGTGTGATAGGTTAAACTATTGTTTTTAAGAACTGTGCTCCCACATAGTGTTTTGTATTCCTGTATGGCATTCACTTGTTATTTCAACCCTTGCCCTTTCTCTCATTCTTCTTTACAATAGTCTGACCCTTCTGTATTGATGATTCCTCTCATCTTTTGTGCAGTAAGTTTCATTAACTGCATCACAGTTATAGATGAACATATTAATTGTGCGTGAAATGACAGCGACACCTAACTGGGTGTTACGGGACACCTAAGTCCCAGATGAGATTGCATTAGAAAAGATGAAAAGGCAATGCATCCCGAAAACAGCATAAGGCAGTGGATTATACCAGGATATAAGCAGGGATATACAAAGCAATCTACAAAGAAACCTAAAACAAACTGTGCCTTTGGTTATGTGTCAGCTGGGGCACAAGAGGCCAAGCAAAAAAGCGCCTTTTACGAGGGGAGCTGGCTGGAATGTTTCAGAGACAGCATGCCGCTGCCTGCTGAAGGAGTGGGACACAACTCATGTTCCAAACCACCACCACTGCTCTTAGGGATCAAAAATCTAAAGAGTTTGGGACGTGCCACCGAAAATGCCTTTGGGAGCAGCACAAGCCCAGGAGCGACGCTCCTGTAAGGTCCTACATGGGCCGAGACTCAACGGCGGGCCACGGGCGGGGGCCGGGGCGGGCCC